CATCACAAACAAAAAGATGTGTTAAATAGGCACAGGCATTGCAGTTTTCCAGGAATTCGATAGCCCCCATATGAATCCTTCAACTGTCTTTGTAAAATATGATTGCAATTATTGTGATGTTTTAGGAAATGAAGAGTTCTTAAATGTCTCTTTGTAGTCTTTCGATTTAACTTTGTGTTGTGCATTGGCTTCTGCTCACGTGTCCTAGAAATTTTGGTATACGCTTATATTTCGTAGACTTTTTCTGTCAATAACAAAAATACAATTTAAATATGCATTGGATAAAAAATCTTACTGTTTTTCTGTTTCTTTCTGTTGTCAAATTTCTAGAGGAAGAAGACAAGACAGTATTAGTTGTGGCTACAATAGCATGGGGACTACGCAAGTGCTCACATGTTATAATTTTAACATTGATATTTCTTATTGCAATAAGACCCGGTCTTTTTCATGCTGTTTATAGTAAGTTCAATGTCCAGATTCCTCCTATGTTATTTCTACGTTTCTTTATTGATATACTTCTAATGAGGAATTGCTCTTATCTGTATTTTCTGGAAGCGTGAGAGGCGGATCCACTCTTTACCTCATCAATTTTGTAGGCTATAATTTTGATCCCCTGTTAGTGTTTTATAATATAAGTGAACCACACAGTTCCACCTGTCAAACAACTCAGGTTTTTAATTAAAGCAAATAATAAGTTCTATAGTGAATTGCAACTTATTGTTTATTCATATTGTCGAGAGTTTAAAAGTAAGTTTTTTTTAAACATTGGTTATTCACTTTAACTTTTTTTCTGCTAAAAGAAAAGAGAGTTTAAAACTAACTGGACATTGATAAAATTTAAACTTTTTTGTAGCATTGTCTTTGGAGTATCTGAACTGTGTCAGGATTCCTAATTTACTGATTGCGAACACTTTCTGCATGCAGTGATTTTCTTTTTAGTTTATCTTTTAAGCAATGCAATCAACAACAAATTACGTCGAGCTGTTATCCTTTTATGTGAGGCGCAATTTGCACTTCAGTTCATTCTTCGGCTTGATTTGATCTCCAAAAATTTAGACCAGAAGGGTTCGTATGCTTTTCAAATTCTCTCACAATTAGGTAAACATTTTCTTCTTTTGTTAATGTATAAATACACTTTTGTTATGCCTATAAACAGAAAAAAAGATACTTTTATTATGCCTGTCGGACATTTGTTTTTGGGGTCTAAATTTAAACTGTGTTTCCTTCAATAAAGTCATTCTATTTATTTATATTGTTATTCATGTGAATGTTGCAGGCATGCTTAATCATATTCATTTAGTGGATTTCTTCAAAATATCAATTCTTGCCTGCTTCTGTGCAATTCATAATCACGGGCTTCAAACACTTCTTATATTTTCAGCTATTGTGCGACACACATCTTGCCCGCCAGTTGGGTTTAACATTTTGAGAGCTGGCTTGATCAAACCTGTCTGTTTATCGGGTTATAGCCCAAGATCTAGTGAAAGCCAGGGAACTCATGGTACAACTATTGCAAATACCGACTATTCCCTAGTATTTTCATATAATTTTATTTTTCTATATCCATTTCTTATCGTGTTAAGACAATAATACTTCCATTGCTTGATTAGTGTATGCTACATATTTAGATGAAGTGTGGATGTCAATATTCTAACCATTCTATTAATTATTCAGAGAGGAAGACCATATCATATTTGAAGGTTATAAGACAGAAGTTCCTTTCTGCTTATCGGTCATGTGGTAAATACATTGCCTTCCTGACAATTCTCCTCAGTGTATACCTATGCACACCGAACTATGCTTCATTTGGTTACTTATTCTTTCTTCTACTGTGGATAAGTGGAAGGCAACTTGCAGGGAAAACAAGAAAGCATCTCTGGTTTCCTATGAAATTGTATGCTATATTTGTGTTTTTCTCAATTTACAGCGTTGGTGTCTTTTCCAGCTCAAAGATGTGGTTTCCTGGGATAATTGGTTTTCAAACTGCATTTGGCTATAACCCAGAAGCTTCAATGTTACAAAACATTTGGGAACCCTTGGCTGTTTTGGTAGTGATGCAGCTGTATAGCTATGAAAGGATGCAGAGCAAAAGTTCTGGGGCTAGTAACTATGATGCACCTGAAATAAGACCTTTTCCTTTTACCAGACGTTTGTTGGTCCGGCATACTGATAAGATACTATATGTCGCCCTGTTTTATGCATCTATATCACCTATAAGTGCATTTGGTTTCCTGTATCTTGTTGGTTTACTTAACTTCTCAAGATTACCAAAGTCTTCTCAGATCACTGCAAAAGTATTTCTAGTTTATTCAGGACTTCTTATAATGGTGGAATATCTTTTCCAGATGTGGGGAGATCAAGCTGAGATGTTTCCTGGTCAAGATCACTCTCAGTTATCCTTACTTATGGGTTTACAGCTGTATAAGCCTGGTTTTAAAGGTTTAGAGTCAGGATTGAGGGGAAAGGTTGTGGTTATTGTAGCATGTATACTTCAATACAATGTTTTTCGTTGGTTGGAAAAGATGCAATTTGTTAACGGAAATGGAGGTAGATGGGATGAGCCTTGTTCTCTATTTAGTCCAGTTGAAGATCCTAATGAAACTCCTAGTTCACCAACAATTAAAAGAGGTACAAGAAGTCGTTCATGGCCAACAATTAATTCTGTATTATCCCTAGGGCCAGATTCAGCGAAAAGAGACGGTGTAAAAAAAGATCAACTTTTGCATTTCTGGGGGAATTCAAAGGATAGCTTGAAGTGGAACAGAAAGCGGCTTCTTTTCTTGAGAAAAGAAAGGCTGGAAATGCAGAAGACTGTTTTAAAAGTATCTTTGACGTTCTGGATAGAGAACATGTTCAATTTATTTGGTCTTGAAATCAATATGATTATTTTGCTTCTTGCTAGCTTTGCTGTGTTGAACGCCTTCTCCTTGCTCTATATAGCATCACTTGCTGCTTGTGTTCTTCTACATCGGCTACTTATTAAAAAGTTATGGCCTGTTTTTGTTTTTTTATTTGCTTCTATCATCACTATTGAGTACTTGGCTATCTGGATGCATCTTGCTTTTGTGCACCAACAAATTGGCGAACAAGTACCATGCTGTGACTGTTGGAGAGTATCAGATATATATTTCAGTTATTGCAAAAGGTGTTGGCTAGGTATCTCTCCATTAATGCATGTTTCTTTATGTGTGTTCAGATAGTTGACAGCAGGTATATGTCTTGTGGATAAACATGTAACACATGTATAACAATCCCAAACCCTGTTTTTGACACTAGAGAATGTTTATAAGTCAGGACTGGATAGTTTTACTATTTGTTACGTGATAACTTTTCCCCAATAATTTATTTAAGTGCCTTCGCTGCAGGAATTATTGTTGATGATCCTCGTATGCTTATTAGCTATTATGGGGTTTTCATGTTTTCATGTTTCAAATTCCGGGCTGATCAGGCATCTACTCTCACTGGATTAGAGATGTATCAGAAAATACTGTCGCTATGGAAGTCTGCGTCTGTACTGAGTGATCTTTCATTTGAAACAAAAGGATATTGGACAATTCTTGACCACTTGAGGCTTTATGGTTATTGTCACTTGTTAGATTTCGTTCTTTCATTAATTTTGATTACAGGAACTCTTGAATATGACATGCTTCATTTTGGCTATCTTGGTTTTGCTCTAGTTTTCTTCCGAATGAGGCTAAAAATACTAAAGAAAGGAAATCAAATCTTTCGGTACTTAAGGATGTACAACTTTGTTGTTATCGTCCTGTCTCTTGCATATCAATCTCCTTTTGTTGGTGACTTTAGTGAGATCAAAAGTGGTTCTGTAGAACGGATAAATGAATTGGTTGGATTTCACAAATATGATTATGGTTTTCGAATTACATCAAGATCATCATTTGTGGAAATCATCATATTCATGTTAGTATCACTACAGTCATACATGTTCTCATTTCCAGAATTTGTTTATGTATCAAAATACCTTGAGAAAGAACAGATCGGAGCTATACTGCGGCAACAAGAGAAGAAAGCTGCTTGGAAGACTGCTCAGTTACAGCACACACGTAAAACTGCAGAGCTGAAGCATGCCCGAAGCTTGCAGGTTGAAAAGATGAAATCAGAGATGCTAAACCTTCAAGATCAGCTCCATAATATGAGCACTGATGCAAACTGTAGTAATGCTTCTCTCGAAATAGATGGCCTACGAGAAAGAGGAAATTCTTCCCTAGATTTTCACAGGGAAAACAAGTCCTGGAAGATAGATCGTGATATATATACCGAGTCAACAGGCCCAAATAATGTGAATCAATCTCTATTGAGTGAAAAATCTCCAAGGTCACTGGCACCAGAATATTGGAGGCACCCAATGGATTCACCTCATGGAATTGTTGATGTAAAGGATAGAACTGAACGCAATGGTGATTTGGATTTACAAATAAGGAATCGTTATAAACTTCGAGTTAGGAAAAATGCTTTAGTTTCAGCTGTACACTTCATAGGAAAAGGAGTATCTCAGGTGCAGTCACTTGGAAATATGGCAGTTAGCAATCTAATGAACTATCTGAAGATAGAACGTGAAGAACTAGAGTCAACCCAGGATTCATCTGATGATGAGGAGTACTATGAGATTGAGAATCAGAATGCTGGTGCAGAACCTCTGGAGTCTACATTTTCCATACACTCTCTTAATGACCATACCGTGCCTGATACTGCTTGCCTTCAAATTGGCATTATTTTCCGTTACATGTGGTCCCGAATGAGGTCGAATAATGATGTTGTTTGCTATTGCTGCTTTATTCTAATATATCTATGGTCCTTCAGTATACTTTCTGTGGTCTACCTAGCAGCTCTCTTTTTATATGCTCTCTGTCAAAATACTGGTCCTGGTTACATATTTTGGGTTACTATGCTGATTTACACTGAGATGTGCATTTTGCTTCAATATTTGTATCAAATCATTATTCAACACACTGAGTTTGAATTTCACGTGAGCTTACTTCAAGAATTGGGATTCCCTGCGAAAAAAATAACATCATCTTTTGTTACAAACAACTTACCATATTTTCTAGTATATATATTCACTCTCTTGCAAACCTCCATAACTGTGAAAGATGGTGGTTGGACAATCGCTGCAGATTCCAGCTTTTGTAAGAGAAGAAATCAAAGCTTCAAAGAGGATGTAAAGTGCTCCACCTTCGAAGATAGATTACAGAGATTATTCTTACCACTGAAAAATGTACTGAAATGGTTGGTCAAAAGCCTCTGTAGGTACTGGAGATCATTAACTTGGGGTGCAGAAACACCCCCGTACTTTGTGCAGCTGTCTATGGAAGTTAATTTGTGGCCTGAAGAGGGAATTCAGCCAAATAAAATCGAATCAAGAATAAATAAGTCACTGAAGATATTGCACAATAGAAGATGCCGAGAGGATAAACTTTTCAAGTTGCATTCAGCAAGTAGGGTTCGTGTGCAGAGCATCGAAAAAAGTGAAGAGAATGAAAACTTGTGTCTTATTGTTTTTGAGGTGTTATATGCCTCCCCTTCAATTGAGTTTACTGCCGAAGAATGGTACAGCTCATTATCTCCAGCAGAGGATGTATCCAACGAGATTCGTAAAGCTCAACACATTGGTATTTTCAAAGAAATTGGGTTTCCATATCGAATAATTTCCATCATTGGTGGTGGGAAAAGGGAAATTGATCTGTACGCCTACATCTTTGGAGCTGATTTGGCTGTTTTCTTCTTAGTAGCTATATTTTATGAATCAGTTATGAAAGCTAACAGTGATTTTCTTGAAGTCTACCAGCTTGAAGATCAGTTCCCAGAAGATTTTGTAACGGTTCTCATGGTAAGAATTGTTCACAGACGTATAACTCTTAGAATGTTTGAGAAGATTTTGTAATGGTTCTCACATGGTAAGAATTGTTCACAGACATATAACTCTTAGAATGTGTGAGGTGGGTCTAACTCATTCCTACAAAACCGGCTTGTAGGGTGAGAATTGCCCCCACTTTTAAGAACATGTTCATGCTATATATTATCCGATGCGGGACTCTTAACATCCCCTCTCACGTTCAGGATTGAATGTCTGAAGCGTGGAACTAAATGGTGGGTGACCCGATAGCGAAAACCTGATAGTTAGTGGTCTAACGAATCTTAAACTGGGCTCTAAGACCATCTTAGAATGTGTGAGGTGGGCCTAACTCATCCCTACAAAACCGGCTTGTAGGGTGAGGGTTGTCCCCACTTATAAGCACATGTTCAGGTCATATATTGTCCGATGTAGTACTCTTAACAATAACATTGATGCTTTATTTGTAAATTGTATCAGATATTGCATGTCCTATTACGAGGTTTCTCTTGGCTGATCATTCTCTTGATGGAACTTAAGCTATGTTTGGATATATAATGATGAAGGAATTGAATGGAGAGGGATATAATATTAGTGTTGTTTTTATTTATTTATGGAACACCACAAAAAATGACTTGTTTCACTTCACCCCTTATCCTCTGAGTTAAAGGGGAAGAAAAAGAAGAGTATTCAAAGGAACGGAATGTACTCCATCACATTCCATTCCTTTGTTCCTATTTTAAACAGTTAAAACAATCAATCCTAGTATTATTTGATTTTATTTCACTCTATGTCATCCCTTTTCATCAATCCAAACACAGTCTTATCTTTTATGTGGAATGCATTTATAAGTTCATTAGTTCAAAGCTTGCCATTCAATTATTTGATGACAACATTTATCTTCCTTCAAGCTTCATTAATATTGCAAACATTATTATAGATTCATAAACACAGATTAGGGGAATGTATCAGATAAGTTTAACCTCAATTTTTCAACAGAAGACAATAAAAGAAACCTATTAACATGCTACCCAACAAAAAAGTTGTATGGGCTGAAAGGTTGTTGGGGTTAGCCGTTTGGATATCCAAGAGAAAAGACAACACCAGAAGACTGCTAATTTCTTTTCTTCCAAGGGCTCACATAATTTCTGTTCATAAATTTTCAGAAAATTGGTAGTGTCTTTCTATGCCAAACTCTCACCCATTTCATTTGTTTTCATAAGATGCATAAACATTCCACTGCTTGATCCATTCGACCAATGAATATCAACTTTTTGAATCTGCCACATTGATAATAAAATCTTATGTCTAGCTAGTTAACTCAGCGTAAAAACTTTATCTTGCAGGTTGTCTTTTTCTTGATCGTGCTGGATCGAGTTATATACCTCTGTTCATTTGCAACAGGAAAAGTTATTTTCTATTTATTCAACCTTGTTCTCTTCACATGTTCAATCACAAAATATGCTTGGGACATGGATCCATTGCACAGATACTCTGGAAGATTAGCAATTCGTTCCATTTATTTTACAAAAGCAATTTCACTGGTTTTGCAAGCAATGCAAATTCATTTTGGAATTCCACATAAAAGCACTTTGTACAGGCAGTTTTTGACAAGTAGTGTTTCACGAGTTTATGTTTTGGGGTTTCGACTTTATCGAGCAATACCTTTCCTCTACGAATTGAGATGTGTGCTAGATTGGTCTTGCACGACAACATCTTTGACTATGTATGACTGGCTAAAGGTATGTATGTGCTCAACAGTCATATTCCTTTTTTATGATAATTTTTTATTGATGTTACTGTTATATTATGTGAGTTATGCCGTTCGCATAATAATATAAAACTCCCTGTTTTGCCATTCTTGAACCGTTAGTGTTATAAATATTTAATTAGTTTATTGTTTTTATTAGTTTGTTATTATATTAGTAATTTAAGTTTGGATATTTAGTAAGGCCCATTAGGTAAGAATACTCTATTTAAAGAGATTAACGCTTCTATATTCATAATCATAATAATAATAATATTGAATTATTCAGTCTTGATATGGTATCGCGAACTCTCATTCGAGAGGGTCTTGCTTCCGCTTAAAAAACCCTAGCCGTCTTAATTGCGGTTCTTTTCGTCAAAAACCTAGCCACTTTCATTGTGGTACTGTTCACAGTTTGTGTTGCCAGTACTGTTAACCACACTGTTCATCGCGCACTGTTCACCGTGGTACTGTGCATCGAGGTACTGTTCACTCTGGGACTGTTACTATTCATCACGCACTGTTCACTATGCTTCTGTTCAAATAGCTGCGCGTATCTCCATCGACTTCTCAACCTAGCACTCGCTTGTGGTGTTTTACTTGTATTTGTTTTTAAATTTCTTCAATGGCTGGTGGTAAAGAAGAAACAAATGGGTACTAGTCTGAATCAGAATTACCTATTATTCCTCAGGTTTACAAGTTGAATGGAAAGAATTATTTGAAATGGTCTCAACTCGTGAGAACGACCTTGAAAGGTAAAGGAAAAGCAAAACACCTTGCAGACGCACCTCCTAAAGAGACATATCCTAAATTTGAAAAGTGGGATACTGAAGATTCGGTGATCATTTTATGGTTATGGGCTTCAATGACTCCAGAAATTAGTGACACTTGCATGTTCCTAAGTACGGCAAAAGAGATTTGGAAAGCATTAGAAGAAACTTACTCTAAAGGCAAAGATGCTGCCCAAATATATGATGTGAAGGTGAAAACACTGGGAACTAAACAGGGCAACAAAATAGTTACAAAATATGCTAATCATCTCAAAGCCTTGTGGATGGAGTTAGACCACTACAGGGTTATCAAAACCGAGTGTACAGCAGATGCAACAACACTTAGAAAGTACACTAAGCAAGATAAAGTCTACGATTTTCTGGTAGGACTCAACTCTGACTTTAACCATGTTAGAGTACAAATTCTTGGCAAAGAAAAAGTGCCGAACATTAATGATGTAGTGTCTATAGTGAGAAGTGAAGAAAGTAGAAGGGAATTAATGTTGACACCACCGTATGTGGAAAGCTCAACAATGCTTGTTGAGAAGAATTTAACCATGTTAGTTGATCAGAAGAAATTGGGAGAAACCTATGTCGAGAAGAAGGGTGAAGGGGTGTGGTGTATTTATTGCAACAAGCCTCGTCATACTCGAGAAAGATGTTGGAAATTGAATGGCAGACCTCCTAATAGAGAGTGGGGACAAAAAAGAGACTTATCTAGAAAAGGAGGACATGCGCATGTGACTGAAAGTACTGGTGGAGACAATCTAGAAGGAGGCGTGTGCCTTAACCTAAGTGAAGTAGAAAAGGCGAGATCTCTCCTCAGTAAGTTGGAGAAACCAACAGGTACTTGTTCTTTAACACATTCAGGTACGTTTCTATTATCTTTTCTATTTGGCAACTCTCCATTTTCGTTTGGACTTCATGGTTCAGATATACCCTTTAAACAATACTGAATATTAGATTTTGAAGCCACTGACCATATGACACCTGTAACAGGTGAAGGAACAATTCAACTTAACTCATCCATGACTCTTAATAACGTCCTTCATATCCCAAAATTGATTACTAGCTTAATTTCCATACACAAACTCACATAAGACCTATATCATGTAATGTTATTTTCTATAATAACTCTTGTGTTTTTCAGGACAAGACTTTAGGGAGGACGATTGGAAGTGCTAGAGAATGAAATGGTCTTTACTACTTGGATAACAAAGATTCAAGCCCGGATTTTCTCAGCAGCAATTCTTTTTTTTCAGAATCAATAAAGAACAACAAGGAGAAGGTTCTCTTATACCATTGTCGCCTGGGTCATCCTTCGTTTAGTCATTAAACAATTATTTCCTGTTTTATTTAAAACATTAGATGTTGGGAGTCTTCATTGTGAGGTGTGTGAGCTTGCTAAACACAAGCGTATACCTTTCTCTGTTTAGTAATAAAATTAGTACTTTTCCGTTTCATCTTGTTCATACAGATGTGTGGGGTCCATCTAATATTCCAAATATTTCAGGTGCCCGTTGGTTTATCACCTTTATTGATGATTGTACTAGGGTTACTTGGGTTTGCTTACTTAAACAAAAATCTGAAGTTAGTCATGTGGTTCCTTAATTTCTCTCTATGGTTAAAAATCAATTTGGTGTGAGTATTAAGAGGATTCGGTCTGATAATGCCAAGGATTATTTTAATCATAATCTTAATTCTTTGTGTCAAAATTAAGGTATCATTCATGAGTCTTCATGGGTTAAAACACCCCAACAAAATGACATTGTTGAAAGAAAAAATGGGCATTTGTTAGATCAAACACGTGCTATGATATTTCAAAATAAAGTTCCTAAGAAATATTGGGGCGATGCTGTTTTAACTGCATCATATCTCACAAATCATTTGCCTTATAATGTCCTTGCTTCCAAAACTCCTATGTAAGTCTTATCCTCGTTCTATCATAATGAGTCTACCTCTAGTAACCTTACTCCTAGGATATTTGGGTGTACATCGTTCGTCCATATTCATAGTGATGGTAGATGAAAACTTGATCCTAGAGCTTTAAAGTGTGGCTTTACCATCTCATAAGTTCTTTGTCTCTCGAGACGTCACTTTCCATGAACAAGAAAGCTACTTCGTTCAAACTCATCTTCAGGGGGAGAACTTAAGTAAGGAAGATGAGTCCCTTATACTTCCTGACCTTACTCTTAGACCTGAACGTGATTATGAAAAAGATGAAACTGGTGTAAGATACGGGAAGAATTTAATATATACAAGAAGGAAGACCATTCCAGAATCTACTCATATCCAAGAGTTTGACCCGACATTACATGAGGTAAATTCTAACTCTAGTGATTCAACTTCTGAATTTTCTCATGAACAAGAACCAGAATCCAATTCAACTCCACCACCATTACCATCACACTATTAAGATTTACATATTCCAATTGCCCTTAAGAAAGATACCAGAAACTGTACCAAACAACCACTTTACCCTATAGCCAACTACCTAAGTTTTGAACATGTTTCACCTACCCATAAAGCCTTCCTTACAAATCTGAACACTATAAAAATACCTACCTCTTTATCTGAAGTATTGTCTGACAGAAAATGGAAACAAGCCATGGATTTGGAGATGGAGGCACTAGAAAAGAACAATACTTGGGAATTGGTTTCTTTACCTACTGGAAAGAAACATGTAGGGTGCAAGTGGGTATACACGGTTAAATACAAGGCAGATGGATCAATTGAGAGGTACAAAGCAAGATTGGTAGCCAAAGGATTTACGCAAACTTATGGAATAGATTATTCTGAGACATTTGTTCCAGTTGCAAAAATGAATACAGTTAGGGTGATATTATCTTTAGCAGCTAATTGTAATTGGAACTTAAACCAATTCGATGTGAAAAATACATTCCTTCATGGTGAACTTGAAGAAGAAATTTACATGGATGTACCACCTGGGTTCCGTAAACGTACTACCACTAACACCGTGTGCAAGTTAAAAAAAATCTTTATATGGGTTAAGCAATCGCCACAAGCATGGTTTGGAAGATTCACTAAAGTTATGATAGGTTTGGGCTTCAAACAATGTCAAGGAGATCATACCTTATTTATCAGACATTCTGAAACAGGGGGAGTAACTGTTTTATTGGTATATGTGGATGATATTATAGTCCCAGGTAATGATGAGAAAGGACAACAATTGTTGGATATACACTTAGCCAAGGAATTTGAGATTAAATCATTGGGAAAATTGAAATACTTTCTGGGAATTGAAGTTGCCCACTCTAAGAAAGGAATTTTCATATCTCAACAGAAATACATTACTGATCTTTTGCAGGAAACTGGCAAGACAACATGCAAACCTGCAAATACACCAGTTGATCCAAGTGTAAAGTTAAGAAATGCAGAAGAAGATATTGCAGTTGATAAGGAAATGTATCAGAGATTAGTCGGAAAACTAATATATCTCTCATATACTAGACTTGATGTTGCTTTTGCTGTTAGGTTAGTCAGCCAATTCATGCACCGACCAAAGAAGATTCACTTACAAGCTGCACTCCGAATTGTACAATATTTGAAAGGAACACCTGGTAGAAGAATTTTGTTTGAAAGAAACAGAAGTATAGGTATTGAAGCACATATTGATGCCGACTATGCAGGATCAATTGTGGATAGGAGATCAACTACAGGTTATTACACTTTCCTAGGTGGAAATCTTGTGACTCGGAAAAGTAAAAAACAAAATGTAGTATCAAGATCTAGTGTTAAAGCAGAGTTCAGAGCAATGGCACAAGAGATATGTGTACTAATATGGCTGAAATCAATCTTAGAAGATCTGAGGATAAAGTGTGATGAACCGATGAGACTTTATTGTGATAATAAGTCTGTTATTAGCATAGCTCATAATCTAGTGCAACATGACAGAACCAAACATATTGAAGTTGATAGACACTTCATTAAAGAAAAATTAGATAGTGGCCTTATTTGCACTCCATATGTGTTATTGAATTAGGAGAGATTAAGAGACATTTAGGTTAAACCGTATGTTTTGAAAGCACTACGGAGACTTTTATATATAGAGAGATTACAACTAATTACACTATATAATCGATGTGAGACTATTCTACATACAAATATTCTGAACATTATTATATTTACAAATATCAACACTCCCCCTCAAGCTGGAGCATATAAGTCAAATGCACCAAGCTTGCCACATATATAATTAGTTCTGGGGCTTCGCAGAGATTTTGTAAACACATCTGCCAATTGATCATTAGAGTTGACAAAGCTTGTGACGATGTTGCTAGATTCAATCTTCTCTCTGACAAAGTGACAGTCTATCTCAATATGTTTGGTCCTCTCATGGAAGACTGGATTTGAAGCAATGTGCAATGCAGCTTGATTATCACATACAACTATTGGTCTTGCTTCTTCAATTTTAAGTTCTTTGAGCAACTGTTTTAACCAAATTAGTTCACATGTTGCCATTGCCACGACCCTATACTCTGCCTCGGCGCTTGATCTTGCAACCACATTTTGTTTCTTACTTTTCCAGGATATAAGGTTTCCTCCAACAAATACACAATACCCAGGGGTGGATCGTCTATCAATTGGTGACCCTGCCCAATCAGCATTAGAGTATCCAACTATCTGAGTATGTCCTTTATCTTTATACACTAAACCTTTTCCTGGAGCACATTTGATGTATCTTAGAATCCGGATAACAACATCCATGTGTTCCTGACAAGGGAAATTTAAGAACCGGCTTACCACACTGACTGCAAAAGAAATGTCTGGACGAGTGACTGTGAGATA